GACATCCGTTGTGTTCCAGCTTCAGGACATGAATAAGACCATCATGTTCCGGATAACAAAAACGACTAAGAAACACAATAATAAATATTTATAATATACAACTTTAAAAACTAATATAAAGCAAAGCTTTTTGAGTCTAATTATATTTTTTTATAATCTATTTTCAAATTTGTGTAGCTCTTAATGTTTCCAAACCTTGGAACATTCTATTCGTTCCACCTTCTTTATTATTCTCCCAAAGAAGGACAAAAGATGGTAGAGAGTATCACAAAAGTGCCAGCAAATAAAACCTAAAGGTGGAAGGCACGGATGTCCTTCCTCCTTCAACCCTTCGACATCTCCTTCATCCACCACACACACTTGTGGCACACTCTTGTTGACACATATGCGTCCATGATGGCCATATTGCCATGTGGCAACGTCCTCGCCTTCACAGTCCGGATCCTTAAGTTCCCTTACCAATAGTCCTTGGTAGGTAGATATCTTCATCCTCTGCCTGATGCAAATCCCATCAATAATCCAACAATGCAGCGGTGATAAAACGAACACAAAATAATAAAAAATAAAGAAAGAAAATAGACGAAAAGAAATGAAAAGCGTGGAAGAGATTCCAAAAAAAAGAGTTTCTTGTCTACTCCACCTATGAAAAACTGTCACTTCCACTGCACTGTACAAAATATTTACTTTTCTCTACAAAAATATAGCTTATAAAGTATGTTATATATTCCTTTATATATATTTTAGTTCATAATTTAATTGGTTATTTAATTTAAAACTTAAATAACTATTTAATGTAATTACATTCATTCATTTTAATTATTTATTTATTACGGTGTGATTGTCTGACAGCCTCCCTGGTTGATTGATTCGCGTTTATTTATCAATGGTAATGTTGTCCCAAATATATATCTAAATTTAATATAATATAAATAATGTAAATGGTAATTTTTTGATGCCGTCGCTATTGCTGTCCTTGTGAAAGGGTAAAGTACCCTTGTTAAGATAAAATATCAGTTTTATCTCTTTCAGAGGCCAAGATACTTGGGTCTATTACAGGGTATGCCAGAGTTGCAGATGCTTAAAATTAATATTAAAAAGTTATCTTTTCGAATTAATATTAAACTAAATTAACTTTTTTTACATTATAAATAGAACTGAATCTTCTTATAACCAAGTAGACCCTGGAAAATATTCTTCGTTCTCCTTGATTTCCCAGGACTTTCCACTGATTTCTGCTTGCAGACATTAAAATTGTGTTTGTATAGGCTGGAAAATGATGCAAATAAAGGAAAGGAAAGCGAAACAGATATAATGAAGGCTGGCAGAAGTCTGAAGATTGCCGAGAAAAGGACAATGGACAGTGGACAAAGGCTCTGTCCGGTTTGGTTCGGTCCCTTGTAACCGGATATTCATGTGCCAAAACAGGATGCTTCTCTACCTCTCTGCCTCTCTGTTTGCTGTGCATTAAATTTTAAATTAATTGCCATAGTTAAGAGGCAGCAACTGTACGGGATTTTCCTGGCAACTGCAAGGCCCAAAATTCCTATATTCCTGCATGGCAATCATTTATGCACTTAATGACCCAAGGACTAAGCAGGAAAGGAACCTAAGGCCGCCTTTAATTGGATCATAAAACAAAGCCTTGCCAAATATCGGAGTAGCTCTTAGTCTGTAATACTGTACATTTTAATTGTAAATAAAATTCAATGGAATTAAAATTATGCCACTGATATTTCTGAGTTAATGAGCAATGGTTTTAATTGTCGTAAAAATGGTTAAGTTCTTGTTGAAGAGATTGTGATGTTTATAGGCTATTTCAATTATTTTTGTTTGTATTGCAAAAAATCACATATACATATTTAGGGTTAATTAATGATGATTTTAAGCACATTCTAAAAATTTTAAACAAGCACCTTATAAAAATGCAAAAACTCTTTACTTTTTGGTACTAAATAAGGTTCAGATTACGTATACGCCATGTGGAAATACATAAAAAGGAGAATAAAATGTATTTATATAAGTATATATGTTAAAATAACATATAGCAATGAGCTTAAACACTTTTTAAAAAATTACACATTGTTATTATGCAAAAACTCTTTACTTTTTGCTCCTAAATAAGGTTCAGATTACGTATACGCCATGTGGAACCCAGCACACCCTTGTGAAGTGCATCAATTACAGGCTAAAATAAGGAGGCGAGAAGAGGACAAACAGGATCAGGCAAAGGAGTTCTGACGATGCCAGAGGAAATGGGCAGGCATTAGAGTGACATTAAAGTTCAATAAAAGTGAATTTATGCCCCTCAGATGCGAGTGAACAGGAAATCCTGTCTAGGACACACCCACACACTGGCAACATATGCATGCCTGATTATTTGTTTATATGTAATCTGCCTCAGTCAGGACTCCTATTTTTTTGTAAGCATTAAATAAGAGGCGTTTTTGTTGGGATGGAAGAGGCACTTTATACCTTTTGGCCCATAAATTATGCCACTCTTTATTATTTTGTAAAATGCCAGCTAGACAAGAGGCGAAGAGAAACAAAAACTGGCACACTTTGTTCTTTAATGGTGGGGAAAAAGTTAATGTCCCAACAAAAATGCAGATTTCCTTTTTGAACCCTTTTTTCAGTACTCTTTGTGTGTGTGAATATTGCGGCCACAAAAAGTTGGTTAACCACAGGGAACAAATGATTTTTTAGTCGCATTTCTTTATTTTTCTATAATTGATAAAATAAAACCAGACTAAATGTAGGCAAATGGGCCATATTTAAAACAAAAGAAACCCTTTAAATTTCTAACGAAGTGGAAAAAAATCGATAATTAAAAACGTAGTAGTAATATCTTAAAACCTAGACTAATCATCATAAATGTATGAGTTCCCTAGGTTAAATGGTTTTATTATTTATTTAAGTATTTGTATTATGCATTTTATGAATTTAAGCAAAAGTTAAGCAATCTAGACAAACAGGAAACTGGAAACAAATGCCAAAGTGGCAACAATTGGCCAACAATCTGTTGCCAAAAAACTATTCTACCGGCTGACTGATGCAATAAACATTGAAAGCCCCAAGATAACATTTTGGCAAGGGTTAAAATGGGTCTGTCGGTGAACCAAATATTTGTTTCTGAATATATACTATATATATGTACAGAAATATGTAGATATCCTTTTTATATGTATTGTTATTTATTTATTGTTGCCATTCCCATAGATATTCCTTTTCATATTCCTGCCGATGTTTATTACTCCATTGCTTTTTGTTCGTTCTGCCTATTTCCTAGGGGTTTGCTCTTTTTGTTTACCTTGAAACATCCTGTGCTAAATATATATTTGAAACGGAAATTGATTTGCGGCCTCACCTGGCTGTAAGTACTTTTGCACTCATAAAAATAGGGAAAGAAAATAAGAAGCAAGTTCGCAAATGAGGGAAATAAGGTCCATATTTCTCTCCTTTTTGGGTATTATAATTTTAGTCAAAAGTTGATTGGACAGTGAAGGAATCATTTCCGACCCTATCATATATATTCTTGATCAGCATCAAAAGCTGAATCGATCTAGCTATGTCCGGTAGAAAATAAAAATTTTCAAAATTTTTCAAATCTTTATAAGGGGTTACATCGTTAAAATTCACACAAAAAAATTATAAAAATTTTAATTTTTTTAAATACTAAATTGAGTATACAGATTTATTAATCTAATAAAAACTAACATTGAAACGCGTTCCGAATTGAAATTAATGCATTTTTTGCTGAGTTATGACATTTTTAAGATTTGGCTTCCCTAAAAATTCCATATAATTATATAGACTTAAATAATCCAATAATTAATGCTTTTTTAACTTAGTTATGATAAATTTTTGGCAAGGGCATATAAAGTTTTCCTTACCGAAATTAACTTCCTTTCTTGTTTTATTTGTACACTAATAGTTTCTTTTTTTAATTTTTTCCTAAACTTGAACATATTTGATTTAAGTGTGCCTCTGGACATTTCCTATTTCCGTTGACTGTGGCACCAGAATTTCCCCCATTTCACCACTCAATTTTTCACTTTCTCCTTAAATGATTGCTGACTTTTAGAGTTTGAAACTTCCTTTGGCTTCGTGGCCCACATCAATCCATTGCCATCAACTCATGGCATCTTTTTCTGGACCAAAATAACATTTTGTTGCAGGACAACTTCTTTCTTCTATTTTTTTTCTATATATATTTTTGTTTCTTCTGTTCCTTTGTCACGCTTCTTTTGTAAGGAGCGACATAAATTGTTGGCTAATTGCAAGTGGACAAGAAAAATAAAATATATAAAAAGAGGACTGAGTGTATAGTACACACATAAAGAGACAGAGAAGGTGAATAAGGCTAAGGGTAAGGGTCAGGGAAAGCTCGAAGACAGAGGGTCAAAAAGTGAAAGCAGAAAGCGGCAACAATGGCAGACTCCTGTTTTACTTGTATTTTCCTTGCTTGACTTTTTACAGCTCTTAAACACTGAAAAGAAATATTTGAGTTCCAAGAAATTATACTTGAAACTTAGCATAAAACTATTCATAATAAAAATATAAAGAAATATAGGTTACATATCCCTTCTTATATTATTATATTATACCAAATATTATGGATATTTTGTAATTGTTCTATAATTTCTCTCAGTACACACACACCACTAGTACAACCAGTAAAAAAGTCCTCGTTGTTTGCTGCCTTTTGTCCGCGTAATTGAGGGAAAAGAAAAACTTGTAGGGCCAAAACCAAGAATGGAGGTTTTCCAGGGGACAAGGAAAAGCTTTAAAAAAGGGCAGGAGGAGCCTGATAGAATAGAGGTAGAAAATGGGGGTCAAAATAGTACAAAGCAGTAAGTAAAAGCAAGTATTGTCATGGCAGCAAGATCTCTAACATGAGGAATTCCTTAGAGTTTTCAGCTCACTCAAGCTATGTTTATACATTAAAATATATTAAATATATATTTTATACTATATTTTATTTAAATTGAATATTCTTCCAGTGGTTGTGGCCAACCAACAGATGCGTTCAACCACCAACTTGCTGATTATTAACCTGGCCGTCTCGGACATCCTGTTCGTCATCTTCTGCGTACCCTTCACGGCCACCGACTATGTCCTGCCGGAGTGGCCATTCGGCAATGTTTGGTGCAAGTTCGTCCAGTACATGATTGTGGTCACCTGCCACTGCAGGTAAGTTAGGATATATCGCATTATATAGTATATTAAATTATAGCCTAATCACTACGAACCTGCAGTGTCTACACACTGGTACTGATGTCCTTTGATCGCTTCCTGGCCGTGGTTCATCCCGTGACGAGCATGTCCTTGCGAACCGAACGCAATGCCACACTGTAAGTGCTCCATATTTATACCTTACACTTCCCGAAAAAATTCAGAATAATTCAACAAGTATGTCTGATTGCTGCAAATAATTTAAGAAAAGATTAGATAGTATATACCTTAGATGCCTTTGAATTCGGTTATCAAAATTTGTTCTTTAATATCAAAAATATAGCTATAACTGTAACCCAACAATTTTTCTGCAAGTGGAACAGCTCCTTTCCCATATCCTTCCCCATATCATCTAGAGTAATTGCATCAATTTGTCCTTTATAATTAGTTTGCCTTGCTTGCCAACCTGTGACCTCTGCCTTTGAGCCAAAGATAGCACATTTAAGTCTTGCATACCTCAAGTCTTCAAGGAAATCAACCTCAATGAAAGCCTTTTCGTCTTGCAGCCTTAAAAAAGTTTCCATCAAATTTTATGACACATTTTTTAAGGTCATCTAAGAGTAACTTTTCAGAAATTAAAACCCACAAAAACTGTCGAGCAATCTTTTTGAATTCGTTCTTGTCCAAGTACAAAGTTTCTTGATTAAAAAGCTTATCCGGTGGGTTAAGAAATTTATAAAATGTAAGTAAAACTTAAAAGCAAAAAAAATACTCAAGGAAAATATTTAAGCTTCTCTTAACTAAGTTTTATAAAGATATATATTATTTATTTGCAGAGCCATCATGTGTGCCTGGATAACAATTGTCACCACCGCCATTCCAGTGGCTCTTTCACACTCGGTGCGAATCTATCAGTATCATGGAAATGCCGGGACAGCTTGCGTCTTTTCCACAGAAGAGGAAGTGTGGAGTCTCGTCGGTTTTCAGGTAAGTTTCAAGTCGACTTTCATATTACTTTACCAGCGAATCCAGCCCAGTTTATACATTCCCTTCGAAATGTGAGGACAACTTGTAGAGGGACATGTGAAATACTAGGAAACCCAAGTACCTGAAAAAGTAGTCATAGAAAAAATGTGAGAAAGTATTTTAACCAGGAAAGTAGGCGACACAAAAGTATTCATTCACATAACACTTCTACATCTAAATACATACATTTGGACGATCATCTCCCTTGAACGGGCCTTGAGCTGGGGGACCTCTCAATCCTCCCTCCTTCGAGGCCAGTTCATTGGATTCCACTTTCCATACAAGACACCATCCTGTTGGACACCATCGGAGTATTCACTTGGCTGAGCTTGCTCTTGTATCACCCAAACGATGTCCTTCATGTCGTGCAGAGGCAGGTCGGGTGAGAGTTTCAAGAAGATTGGCTCATTTTGGTTTTTGCTCCAGATTCGACCGCGTAACAGGTAAACTTTTCAATCAGTTCCTTTGGCTCCTACTTACTCTGCGTTTAGAGGAGGTCTTTGGTATTGGGTCTCCTCTCATTGATAACAAGGTAATCAGCCACGGGACCGAACATTCGCACACCCTGCACATGGTTTTAGGGGGATTTGTTTCGACCCAGATTGACCCCCAGTATGCCATTGAAGATCTCCTTGCTGTGGTGCATGTACAGCCCCTGGAGCACCACCTGGTGACTACCTCTGTTAAACCCATACCGGTTGATGATGGCTCGATCCTTGGATAGACGAAAAACCCTACACTTTGGATTACCTTCCTTGGGATGGATGGATGTGATGGTTCCTACCTTGATGGAGCTGAAACCCAAGTCGTGAAGTCTCCTCAAATGTTGCTAAGCAGCTGGCCAAAGAACGGTGTGTGCAGGTTTATGTCATCTTGGTACTGGGACACCGAACACATGCAGTTCTTCCAGGCAAGCAAATCCAGATGGAGACTGATTTCTGCCGGCAGCAACCGTATGCCTGGCTGGCTTCACAAATGTTGAAGGACATCTGAATCTGGTCCTTGTACGTTTTTGAAGGTCAGCCACTACGGCAGCTGCTTCGGCTGTAAGGATGCACAGGGAACGCAGAAGATCGAACCGGAATAATGTCTACAAAATCTACCACAAAAAAACAAACACTGATTGCATTCTTCATGTGATCCTGATCCATAATAATTATCGATGCCTATCAATAACAACTACTACTAAGGGAACGCTATGAAATATACACAAATGTACTTTACTCAAAGACGAATATATTTTGTAAAAGATACAATTTAGGAAAACACTATTATAATGTAAAATGAAAGCTTATTTTGTGCCAACTGTCCTACTATAACATATATTAAAACTGTTTATATAATCCTTAAAATTTCAAGTCAATTCATAATTTCAATCATTTTCACACGAAGAGAGGGTAATGGCTCCTCATTAAGTTCTCAAACTCCTGCGGCAATTTCATTCATTTCGCTGAGTGTCTGAAGAGACTCCTCGTTTATGGACAAATCCCAGGAGCAATTTTTTGGGTCAGGCGGAGTATTAAGTGTACTTGGCCCTTGGAAGGCCTTCCCCCACCATTTATCACATGGCACACACTTCAGTTTATGGCTTTTTATTAGCATCCGCATAAAGTTTGAACGGAGGGGTGAAAATAACAACAAAATGTAAAAGAAAAGAAGAAGTTTCTCTCTCAAGTTGGGCAACTTTTATTTATGACGATTGTGTTGTTAAATTTCATGGCCAGTCCATGCACTATGTGTATCTATCGATTCTGTGTATATTTCTTATTTTTATAACCATCCAAAAACAAAGGATCCTTATAGTCTCCCAACTAAAGATATTAGGATATACTACAGTTTGACCTCGTTTTGGGTCATTGGTATCTTTAAGTCACTTCAAAATTCGGAATTTACCAAAGAAAAACAATAATAACTTAAACTTTTGTTTTCTTTATAATTATTATGAAGATAATTTGACTAAAAAGCAGCTGAGATCGTTGTAAGTGTCTGAAGATATCATATAAAATATTTCAGGGTTTATCCATCGAAAATTCAATGTTCTTTAATAATTTAAATGTTGGACTTGTAAAGCATTTAAATGAGTTATGCTGAAATACACCTTCATAATTACCAACTGAAGCAGCTTTATTAACCCCAGATCTGAATATGAAGCCCCAAAACTTCCCTTCGTATTCGAATACAGATATGGATCTGTTGATGTGTCAGGATGGATTATGTCACTCCTTCTCGACGCGTTGTCCTTGCCTTGTTCGGTGTCGATAACAAACGACGTGTTCATTGGCCATGGACGGATAATCCCAACAAAGTGATTTCGATGCCATGACTGTCAGGCATTCGCAGCGCCTCTTCCGCCCCCAGAATATGAATGCGAAGGGCGTGGCAACGATTATTAACAATTGCAGAATGTCCTCCCGATGAATCACACTTTCCACCTTTTCCGTTTCATTGCCTTTATTTGGCGGCTCACAACTGATGTAATATATTATTTTGACTTGCACCTTTGTGCATATTTCGATTTGCTGTGTGTGTGTTTTATTGTTTTTATTGCCTGCTTTCCGCTTTTCCACGTTTTCCACTTTTCCGGCAGGAGGGAATCCCCTTAATCATTTACACTTGACTGATGGCAGCCACCCAACCGCAGGCGCAATCAAAGAAAAATCGAATCCCCTCGAAAGTTGAGGCACCAAATGAATTTTAGGCCTGAAGCTGGACGAGAAGGTACCACTTGGACCGCAATTCCTCAGTTTAAAAATATTTTAAATACCAAAACTCAGGCAGCTCTTGAAAGTTTTAAAAAAAGGCCAATGGTCTTAACAATGCAGAAGGTCGGCTTAAACCGTAAAATTACTGCGAATAATAAAGTTATTTTCCAGTGAATTGGCTTAAAAGCTATAGTTAAACATTAAATACAAATTTATTGAAGCTTTCATTCATTTTACATTACCTTTTTAAACAAAATTCTTTAGGCAGTGGGTTATAAATGTAATTATAAATATATTAAAAATATATATAAATTTATTTTTAGTTCAAACTAAAATACAGTCAATATCCTTTTAGTAGAAATATGCTTAAGGATTCATTAGTTAATTTTATGAATAAACCCCAAGCAAATCTCTCCCCAAAAAAAAGGATAAATAGTTTGGCACAAGTATGTGAATTTTTCCTCATTATCTTTTTACAGACTTATTTCAAGGATATATGTATATGTATATACGTATATGCAAACTATATTCATTCGTGTCTCTCAGGACTATGGGTGAGCGGCAGCTGTTGAAGTGAAGAGGATGCAATGGATATCCCTTTTCCATAGATACAAATGGAAGGATAGTTTCGGGAGGGGCCTTGAGAGGTGTCTGGCACTCATTTCTGGTATCTGGTCAGCATTACGGGTCAGCGATTTTCACAATTTTCATGCAAAAACACAAAAAACAAAAGCCGCTGCTGACATGGCAGCAGATGGCAGAGGAAAAGACCTTCGACCGGACACAGAAAATGATAAGCAGCAAAGTTATTATGATGGTGGCAAAGGGAATAAGTGCCCAGCATTAACTATGTATGAATATATTTCAATTAAAGTTGGTTAAAAAACGAAATATTTAATGGAAATTTAAAAAGAATATAAATACTTTACAAAACAATTTAATTTGCTGAAATAGACCACTGAATGGGCAACCTACCTTCGAAAAACACAATCATATATTATGTAAAATATAATCTTAATCTTCTTTACTCTAATTTATTTTAAACGATTTCCTGAGATTTTCTTTGTAAACTGGAACTTTAAATATTCTAAAATATGTTCCCTAGTTTTAAGAATTTCTATGATTTAAGAATTCCTTTTTCACTAACAAATAAATTCATAATCAGCTATCCTGATTTATATTTCCTTTTTTCCAGGTCTCATTCTTTTTGTCATCGTATGTGGCACCTTTGACGCTGATTTGCTTCCTTTACATCGGAATGCTGGCTCGTCTGTGGAAAAGTGCTCCAGGCTGCAAACCTTCTGCCGAGTCACGGTTAGTACAAAAAAAAACGAAAATAAATATATATTGAAATAGAAATTAAGTATACGCACTGTGTACCCGAGGGAGGAACATTTTCCTGGCACCTGCTGCTAGTGATTCTCCTTCTGTTTCTGCTCGTGTGGACCATGATTCATGTCTCTTTATTAGGCTGGTAAAGGAAAACTCATGGGGTTTTCCTCATGCATTTTTAAGTAGTCGAGGGGTCAACGAAACTGAAAGGCATCGTCAGTACAAATTTGAGGAATACTCTATCGAAGGAATCGGGTAAAGTGGCAGGCAGTCTAGGAAATGAAATGGGAAAAGATCATAATCATTATTTTCTTTCAATATTTTCTATCAAGATTTTATCTTTAAATGTTTTCTTTCTAAATAAATCCTGACTACCTTAAATTTAACTTTACAGAAAACTAGGAAACAGGAAACTTTCCCTTACGTGCTTAGGATAACCGACCATTAAATTCAAGTTAAACTTTTATTAACTTTAAACTTTAAACCTCCTTTCGCATAAACTCAATTGCAGTGCTTAAAGTCTGAGCTTGGGAATACTTTTAATTTACTTTGGCAAACTTTGGTTTCAGCGAAAATGAAGTACTATTAAATTCTACTTAATCATTTTCCCTTAAAGTCTTTGCAGAAGTTTTAGTTCTTAAAGAAATAATCTAAATAAAATTCCAAGGAAGTAAAATTAAGTAAAGATTTTGGTTAATGTTAAAAAGTTTCCTGAAATGTATTATTAAGTTGAATAATTTTAGAATAATTTATTTTTAAATGCAATAAAACCAATTTAAACAGATTCCTCTAAAATGCCAATCTATTTGCAGATTTCACATAACTTTTTAAATAAATAAATAAAATGCGAAACTGAAAATGAAAATAAATAGAAGAGGCCATAAAACAAATGGCATGAAATTAGTTTTCGAACAGCTTTAATGTGCACATATTTACTGAGAATGACTGTCATATATTTCACACACTATCCAGAATCTATATATCCATATATATCAGTATATATTTATGTATGTAAATATTTGACAGGGATTGGATATAGGCTGCGTTTTAAACTTGAATGGAAATGAAGTTGCAATATACACGCAAAGTTCATAAATCAAAGAGCAGGGATTTGCAGCATAATTTATATTCAATGCATATAGTACAAACATATATTTGAATAACCACAACTATGAACTATCTCTATATATTTTCCTGACTAACTTTATGGATTGTTTTTCTTTTTTTCTTTTTTTTGCAGCAAGGGAAAGCGACGCGTCACCCGAATGGTTGTTGTTGTCGTTCTGGCATTTGCCATTTGTTGGCTGCCAATTCATGTAAGTATATATAAAAGTATAAATAAATATAACAATATATATACGTATAAAAAAAAATAGACTCTCAATAGGGCGAACCTTCGTAACTTAGCTAAAAATCAAAATCGATTGAGCTCATACATCCGGAGATACAGCCAAGCTATATCTTTTAATTTGCTATACAAATCTTGTTCATACTAAAAATTTAATATAGGAAAAACAATCATTAGCAAATTAGTACTCAACAGGTTCTCTTTCTTTACTTTACACTCATCCAAAAAATTTAATGGTAGTTTTTCTTGAATTAAGAAAAATATTTAATAAATTTAGGGGTATCTAACTATTAAAGTAAGTAAACAACAATGACTTGCGACTTTTGTAAAAACACACACACTTTATAAGAGTTGGCCGGCAGTTTGTAGTCGTCACTTCGCTCTGGGGATCCTAGAACCAGTTGGGAATCATAAGTTCAAATGAGTGAGATTTTTTCTGAAAAATATAAAAATAGTTGTATGAGTTAAACTGTTGTTTAGGTTGTCATAGGTATAAATTTATAATTACCTATGACATTTTCTGAATATACATATATATATATCTTCTTCACTGCGTTTCGAGCTTCTAACTGAAATTATAATACCGTTTTTGACAATTTTTTCAACAAATCAAAACTTAAAATACTCATATTTAAGCCAAAAATGCATTAATTTGCATTCAGAAAGCTGTTCTGTTCTAGTTTTCAATAGTTTAACAAATCTGCATACTCAAATTTTATTTTAAAACGATTTCAATTTTGTCGATTTTTCAATATGCTAACAATGAAAAAACCGCTTAAAAAAATAGAAAAAAATTTTTCAAAAATTTGTTTCTCTTTTTTATACCTAGAAAGATTCGCCTGGTGATGCTGATTAAGAATATATATGATTTATAGGGTCGGAAATGACTCCTTCACTGCGTTTCGAGCTTCTGACTAAAATTATAATACCGTTTTTAGTCGATAATTCGATATACATATACTTTTACTAGATATAAGTTCAATTTACTTAAAGTTTTACTTACATTTCAAGAGGCTTCACTTGGCAGCCAGCAACAGCTGCCTTTAAATGTGCTGGCAAACAGTGGCGATAAATTGACATTTCCGTTTCCGGTCAATCGCAATTTATTTTCTGAAATGTTTAATAAGCCAGCAAAAGGACGAACAGCAGCTGCTGCAATCGCTTCCTTGCTTCTTTTGCATCCTTCAAAAGTATTTGCACAAAATCAATGTGCTCGCAAATTACAAACGAAATTACAATTACACAATCAGACACTTACTTGATGTGCAGAAGAAGAGCAGAATTGCATTTATCAATGCCAGCATATGGCAAGCATCCAAAAGACATGTATATTTAAATGAGAAGGCTATATTTTGTTATTCATATATATCTTATTGGAACATTAATTGATATATATTTGTACATTAATATATGCAATATATCAAATAGATCCCTTACTTTATAATAATTATAGTACCCTGCAGGGGTATTTCATGAAGTGAGCATCTTCCTGGTTATCGAACGGTATTGCACTGCTCAGGTGATATATTTGGGGTCGAAGGACAATAACTATCACTAATCACTAGAGATGTAGACAGCGGGGAGGCCACGGACAGACTGAGGGCAGAGCGACAGCAGTGCCTCTATTTATACTCTCCAAGTAAAGAGAAAAGAGAAAGTGAGAGCGAGCGAGCAGCAGGTATCTCTAGAGATGGGCAGAGAGAGTTTGAGAGAAAGAGATATTTCTCCAGATACACAGAGAGAGACGTACTGAATATGATAGAGGTAAAGAGCTTGAGAGGGAGAGAGAGAGAGACAGGGAGAAAATGGGAGCTCGAGTAAAAGAGGGGCAGGGACAATTTTGGAGCAAACATTTTACTATTAATCCCATGCTTTACTCCATGTTATTTCTTACCCATTTTCCTGATAGGTAATTCTTGTGCTGAAGGCTTTGGATCTTTATGGGGCAAGTCATCTGTCGGTCATCATTCAGATCATTTCGCATGTGGTGGCCTACACTAATTCCTGCATCAATCCGATACTCTACGCCTTCCTGTCCGACAACTTCCGCAAGGCTTTCCGCAAGGTGACAGCAATTCTTCTTTTCCAATTTATTTTTAGGTAAAATGTTTTTAAATAATTATTATCCAGGTGGTTTGGTGTGGTAGCCCACCGCCTCTGATGACCAATCAACAGATGACCAAGACGACGCGAACTGCAACCGGCAACGGAACGTCCAATATTGATATGCTCTAAGGATATATGTTTAAATGTGTTTGGGCTTTAAGGTTCCAAAATTATAAAGCTTGTTAAGTTTTCTTGGTAATAAAAATGGTTTATTAACTTTTAACAAGATGTAAAACATTATTTGTACGGATTATGCAAGGTGATCCCAGGTAACTATAAGATAGACTCTATTAAATGGATTTAAAATGAAATTCATTTTTATTTTATGTTAAGCTATAGCTCTAAAACCGATTTATAACTTTATTATTTGCAGTAAATTTTTGGAATAAGCCTAGTCCGTTGGCCTTTTGAACAACTTTTGAGAACTGCCTGAGTTTTGCTATTTCAAATATTTTTAAATTGAGGAATTGCGGTCCAATTGCTTCCTTCTCTTCCTTTTTGGAATATCCAATAAGCTTCAGGCCTAAAATTCATTTGGTGCCTCAACTTTCGAGGGGATTCTGTTTTTTCTTTGATTGCGCCTGCGGTTGGGTGGCTGCCATCAGACAAGTGTAAATGATTAAGGTGATTCCCTCATGCCGCAAAAGTGGAAAACGTGGAAAAGCGGAAAGCACGCAATAAAAACAATAAAACACACACACAGCAGATCGAAATATGCACAAAGGTGCAAGTCAAAATAATATATTACATCAGTTGTGAGCCGCCAAATAAAGGCAATGAAACGGAAAAGGTGGAAAGTGCGATTCATCGGGAGGACATTCCGCAATTGTTAATAATCGTTGCCACGCCTTTCGCATTCATGTTCTGGGGGCGGAAGAGGCGCTGCGAATGCCTGACAGTTATGGCATCGAAATCACTTTGTTGGGATTATCCGTCCATGGCCAATGAACACGTCGTTTGTTATCGACACCGAACAAGGCAAGGACAACGCGTCGAGAAGGAGTGACAAAATCCATGCTGACACATCAACAGATCCATATCTGTATTCGAATACGAACGGAAGTCCTGGGGCTTCATATTCAGATCTGGGGTTAATAAAGCTGCTTTAGTTGGTAATTATGAAGGTCTATTTCAGCATAACTCATTTAACATTTTAATTATTTTCGGAATAAAAAACCATTAAATAACGTTGAATTTTCAATGGATAAAGATATCAATAAGCTTAAACGAGATCAAGCTCTAGTCCATTTGACAATACAATCGTCATAAATAAAAGTGGCCCAACTTGAGAGAGAAACTTCTTCTTTTCTGTTACATTTTGATGTTATTTATTCCCCAGTTTAAACTTTATGCGAATGCTAATAAAAAGGCATAAACTGAAGTGTGTGCCAAGTGATAAATGGCAGAGGAAGGCCTTCCAAGGGGCAAGTACACTTAATACTCCGCCTTACCCAAAAAATCACTCCTGGGATTTGTCCATAAATGCGACGTCTCTTTAGACACTCAGCGAAATGAATGAAATTGCCGCAGGATCTGACAGCTGGAAGAGGACCCATTACCCTCTGCTAATATTTGGAAAGACGGTCCTATTTAAAACAAAATTAAATAAGTCACTATGCTTCCGGTAAGCATATAGCATAATGAATACTTTAGCCAACTTCCTGGTTTAAATAACTCCTTTCCTTTTCCAGTTCCATCACCTTTATTCGCACTATTTGTTATATTTTTATGATGATAACCATTGGGACGTTAGTTTCGTTGTTCGATTTGCTTTGACAGCTAAGTTTGATCAATTTTTATTTGCTTACTATTCAAGGTTATATATAAATATACTCGACCTTAGAACATGCATAAAAATTTCCCTAAATCATATTTGAAGTTGAATTTTCTATGCTCTTTCTAGAACACAAGAAAAGAAATAATTATTAAGAACAAATTAAAACTTCATATTCTATATTAATTAAATGCAAGCTGCCATGCAAATATATTTTCATTTGAGCAATTAAAGCAATTGTCCCTGAATTGGATTCCATTTAAGTCTGAACTTGAAGTCCTTTAAACAGCAACCACACTTTGTCCTTTCGCCAAAGTTGTGACTTACCTTTCCTGTTTGCCAAAGCAATTGTGATTTATGTGAGAGCAAAGGGGGAAAGTGCGAAAAAGTGGGAAAATCGTGACATTGTCGGAGAATCGGAGCAGGAAAATAGGAATGGAGGCGACTACCGAGTGTCACCGAACTTCACCACGGTTGCAAATTAGTCCATGAACGACTTAGGGAGTCACTCACTCACTCAGTCGGTATGTCAGCAAGTCTTTTAAATGACTACACTGAGCAAAAAGACTGCCCATCTAAGAACGATACTTAAAATAATTTTATAAAAATTTTCCCATATATTTAATTAGATTTTCTAGAATATTGAAATATTATTCTAGGGATATTTAGACTTAAAGTAGAACCTTTTCTTTTTCTAAGCTCTATAAGTTTTCACCTTATTTTCCCAGTGTCTTGGTTACTCAGGGCGTCCCTCATTTGTTCTGTAAATGGAAATAGACGAGAAAGCTCATTCATTCCCATCCAGTTCCCAACCCACAACTGCGGCTTCCTGTGTAACATCCTTCCGCCATGAAATTAGTCACTACCAGGACATGGGCGTACTTCTCACCAAGGGAAAGGGGATTGAGTAGAAGGCTGCCGAATTGATTAATAGACAAAATTTCGAGTAATAAACATGGCAATCTCGGGGCAAATATGAGCTTCTTGGGAAACGGAACGGAACACCCATAGATAAGGTTGATCTTCTGCTAGATGGGAAGCATAATGATGATGGAATTGTGTTCTCACCTCCCGAAAGGGGGAAAATAATTGCAAAATATGGCCCTGGATGTTCTCCGCCGTCCATGGCTCACGAAAGGGACAGGACCAAGGACTCTCTTTGCAAATCAGAATGCAATGTGTGTGCGCAATGGCTTAATCCTGTCAACTCCTCCCAGGCATTATGTTCACTGGACTTGGAAAAGGCATTGTGTTCATCACTGGAAAGCTTGGAAAAGCTAAAACTTCTATACTCTTTGTCTAATTTTAAATCAATCATAAATTAGTCAAAAATGCATTAAACTCAATACGGAAAGCGTTCCTATGTTATTTTTTCTTATATTAATAAATCTGCATACTCAATTTAAAGTTAAAAAATAATTAAAATTTGTGAATTTTTTTGTGAAAATTTTAACGATGTAACCCCTTATAAAATTTTGAAAAAAAAATTCAAAAATTTAATTTTCAACCAGACATTGCTAGATCGATTCAGCTGTCGATGCTGATCAAGAATATATATGATTTATAGGGTCGGAAATGATTCCTTCACTGTCAAAAAAAAACTTTTAGCTAAAATTATAATACTCTGCAAGGGTACAAAAATTGCATATTTTCTTTGAGTGAAAAAGCAAATACAGCCAGGTGAGGCCGCAAATCAATTTCCCTTTCAAATATATATTTAGTACAGGATGTTTCTAGGTAAACAAAAAGAGCAAGCCCTCGGAAATAGGCAGCACGAACAATGGCAAATGGAGTAATAAACAGGAATAGGAACAGAAATGGTAATGTGAACAATAAATACACAAAGTCATTTGGCATGCATATGAAATGGATACATATTTCTATATATATATATATATTTAGAATAAATATTTGGTTCACCTGCAGACCCATTTAAACCCTTTCCAAAGGTTATCTTGGGGCAGTTTCCCATAAACATGAAGGTAACGAAGATGCCGCACTTCAGGGAGGTGTTGATCATGGCCAACAAAGGTTCGTCCTAGGCTGTAGGTGGTGCCTTATCTTCATCCATTCCATCTCCCATTGTGTCACTCCTGTAGGCGCGATAGGTGTTCATCTCGTCGGGAAAAGTCTTGAACAGTTCGAACAGCAGATGTGACTTGAACTTCTGGAAGGCCTCGACAGTGCCCTTGACCTCCTCGTTCTTGGCCTGTGTCTTCAACAGAACGTCCTTGGTATACAGATGGGGATTCTTGTTTTTGTCAATGTAGTCATAGCACACCTCGAGGGGCACATAAACGTCCGCCACCTGGGCACGAAGCTTATTAAGATCCCGGAGGCCGCCTATCATGCCATTGCTGCAACGTAAAAGAGATATTTGATTAATAACAAGAAAATTAAGAAATATAAACAAATAATATCTATTTTTTTATACATCTTCTGGTTGAGAACGACCTGTGTCCGGGGTTGAAAGTCGCGGACGATGAGTTCAATTTGTCGCACGTTCTCGATGAACAGCTCCAGGTGCGACTGTAGATTTTTCATTGGAGATGAGTCCGCGTTTTTAGATGGATCAGGCTTCTGGTTCATCGGTGGAGCAGACTCCGAGTTTTTCAGTGGAGAAGGCACGGGGTTTCTAGGTAGAGCAGACTCGAGTTTTCTTGGTGAAGCAAACACCGGGTTTTCCAGTGTATCATACACGGGGTTTCTTGGTGAAGCAAACACCGGGTTTTCCAGTGGAGCAGACACCAGTTTTCTAGGTGGAGCTGACACGGATTTTCTTGGTGAAGCAAACACCGGGTTTTCCAGTGGAGCATACACGTGTTTTCTTGGTGAAGCAGACACGGGATTTCTTGGTGAAGCAAACAACGGGTTTTCCAGTGGAGCAGACACGAGTTTTCTAGGTGGAGCAGACCCGGGATTTCTTGGTGAAGCAAACACCGGGTTTTCCAGTGGAGCAGACACGAGTTTTCTAGGTGGAGCAGACCCGGGATTTCTTGGTGAAGCAAACACCGGGTTTTCCAGTGCAGCAAACTTTTGGTTTTCAGGTGGAGCCAACTTCAGTTTTTTAGGTGCAGCATAGTCCAGGTTTTCCGGTGTTGCAGACTTCAGGGTTTTCAGCGGAGTAGACAGCGGTTTTTTAAATTTTGCAGGCTTCTGGTTTGTCAGTGAAGCAGACAAGGGTTTTCTAGGTGAAGCAAACACTGGGGCTTCCAGTGCAGCGGGGATTTCACGTGGAGCTAACTTTAGTTTTTTAGGTGGAACAGACTTCAGGTTTTCTGGTGTAGCAGACTTCACGTTTTTCAGTGGAGCAGACATGGGTTTTCTAGGTGAAGCAAACACCGGGTTTTCCATTGGAGCAGACTTCAGGTTTTTAGGTAGAGCAAATTTTCGAGCAGATACCGGGTTTTCCAGTGGAGCAGGATCCGAGATGTCAGGTAGAGCAGACATCAGGCCCTTAGGTGAAGCAGGCTCCAGGTTATCAGATGGTGCCGACATTTTTAACTGCTGTTTATGGAGTTATTCCTTAATTCCTTTACTGAGCGTGCTGCGGCTTTTTTTTTCACACGTGCTTGTTCGTTTTCTGTTAAAATTAGAGTGACCAGGGCTACATAAACGCACATGTGAGCTTTGGGATTTAGCTGTAGCCGAGCAGGGTCACACCGGTAAGGCTGCACATGTTTTGCTTCGTTCTTATTTCTTCTCAGCTTCGTAAATAATTTAAAGGGTTGCCTTTACTTTTCTTTATTTGGTGACTCTTAATCTGGTTTCATTTTATCAATTAAAATTAAAACAAAATAAGGAAGTGTGACTAAAAACCACTTGTACCCTGTGGATAACTTTTTTGTGTGCTGGAAAATATGATCCGAAAGTCTGCATTTTTGTTGGGACATTAACTTACTCCCCACCATTAAAGAAAAAAGTGTGCCAGTTTTTGCTTCTCTTTGCCAACTGTCTGGCTGGCATTTTACAAAATAATAACGAGTAGCATAATTTATGGGCCAAAAGGTATAAAGCCCAAAAAAACGACTAGTGTTTAAAACTAGCAAAAAGATCGAAGCCCCCCCCCACTGAGGCAGCTTAGATATAAACAAATAATCAGGCATGCATATGTTGCCAGTGTGTGTGTGTCCTAGACAGGATTTCCTGTTCACTCGCATCTGAGAGCATAAATTCACTTTTATTGAACTTTAATGTCACTCTAATGCCTGCCCATTTCCTCTGGCATCGTCAGATCTCCTTTGCCTGATCCTGTTTTCCTCTTTTTGCCTCCTTATTTAAGCCTGTAATTGATGCACTTCAAGTGTATGTGATGGGTTCGACATGGCGTATACGCAATCTGAGCCTTATTTAGTAGCAAAGTGTGGAAACTTTGCCTGTTTTCAATGTTTCAGAAAGTGCTTGGAGTCATTGAATTGTTTTATTTTTACATAAATTTAAAAGGAATGCGGCTTGCTCATATGTATGTATTTTTGTCAAAATATTTTTCCATTTTTTACTTATTCAAAAAATTAACCACTTAACTTCTTTTGGTAAGTTTTCTATCTTTAATATCTAGTGTTTTGGGAATCAATTTAGAAACAAACACACAAGAAAAGTAGCTACATTCATGATTAAACTGGCAATTTAAACATTTAAAATCGATTACAAAAAAAGATGATTCTGAAAGCTACCAAAAATGGTTGGAGGTTTGGAAATGGTGTGTTTAGGCTGTTGTCAGGGGTGGCATTTTAGAGGGGATCCATTGAGAGTCAAAAGTGTGGATACGCACTGGTTGCCTGGTTTCCAAAAAAGAAAGAAAGAACCCTCCTATTTTTCACTTGTGTTTTTACAGCTGCTCTGTGTGTGCGAGTGTGTGGGTGTAATTTCAACGCCTCACCCACGTTTCCGGGCTTTTTGCCTCTGCTCAATATTGGAATTGTAAAATGTGAAAGCACTCAGATGAAGGGTATATCTGTTAACTTCTTTACTATATTTTATGTATATTTATTAACATTTAAATACAGTCAAAGAACCGAAAGAAAGAGGAAATATAATGAGAACATCTCATGTTAAACCTCTTTAATAATATTCGAAACTTTAATAATTTTAATTGGACATCACCTACTTGAGAACTTAATCCTTTCATAATCTTCCTTCTTTCTTGTGCTTCTTTTTATTTAATTTTCCACAATTTCCTTTACATGTTTCCCTTCTTATCTTTCTGCTCGAAACTCATGAACAACATGTCGTATACGTAATGTTAATATTCATGAAACTATAAAGTGTTTAAAGCTGCCATGTGTTTGTTGCCAAAGGCGATTGTGGAGTGGCTGGGTTGAAGTTACTTTTAGCCTAAGTACTATGGAAACTTTTACTTCATTCTTAAAAAAGTGCCAAATATATGGCTTATAATAGCGACATATCAAGTATACGCCATGCGAGATTGTACTTTTCCGCCCACCTTTGATTTTCATCAGCTATGGCAATGGTTCAATACACAGTATATTTAGCTTAGAAATAATGAATCAATAAAATAAGTAACTTTAAAAATTGACAAAGTAAACACTGAAAATAAAAGCATTTAAAGTTTTTTTTTTTTTTTTGGAAAATCTATTTACTTTCTGCATCAAAATGTTGAAGGAATACTTGTACACTTGTCTTATACTCGGTCTCGCCCAGGGCGAAAGATTTATCCAACTGAAGGATGCTAATATATTGTGTATGGACTGCACTGAGAAAAACAAGGAGTGCCCATAAAGGAGACGGGATACAGTGTACTCAAGGAGGCATCTCGATTTGCAAGGGGAATACGAGGCTTTTATGCACCGATGGTCAACTGCCTTCCAAAGGGCATGCGAATTAATGGTTTGATGGCAGAATTTTCTTAACCGAACATCAATAATAATTCCTCATTGAGTTGCAGCTACCAAATTCGATGCCCTTTGTGTTTGGTCACCGAAACTGGGCTGCACTTTATTAATCAACAAGTTCAGGACGGTGCAAATGTTTTGTCACGATTGCATGCCACCCTTTGAGCCCCGAAACGATACGGTGAAGCGATGTCCTTGCCATGGCTATAGATTGTATGACTCTGGGTCGGGAGACCTCTACGGCGGTCTCTTCAAATTCCTGATTGTTTTTTATTTAGTAAAGTGGAGAATGCTTGAGTAAAGAAAGTTTCAAGACTGAAATGGTTTTATTATTTAAAGTTTACAGCCTGCCACAGCCTGGATTATGCGAATATGACACTATGTGTTTGTTATTGTTGTCTTTTGGTGCAATTTCTATAGTTATTTAAAGTATTTATGCCTATCTGAAAGCTTTGGCCAGACACTCGTGCAGTAATTAATATGGAAAGCATGAAATGTAGAACAAAATAAATGGATACTCAAATCAATACAATATTTGATTCTATTTCATATTGCAAAGCTACATGAAGCTCGGGTTGTTGAATAATGCTTTTACCCGGATATTAAATCAAATTTAAATCACTTAGCCAAGATATAAACCAAATATTTCTAAGTTTTAAACGCATTCTTCACTGTTCTATGCGGCCCATCTGAATAAAGTTCCAAAAGAGCTAAGAAATGCTGTATCCGCTTTTCAAAGAGATCAATCTACCACCATCCACAAAGTTTTGCAGAATATTATTAAATTAAACCAGTAACTACGATTCATCGAAGAAGCTGCGGATTCATACTCTAGACACAAACCGGGTCCTCCCATCGCAATAGCTCCGAGACGGAAGCTTAAACCGGAACCAGCTGAAATGGAAGAATAAAAGAAAGCAGAATGTTTTTGCCACTTCTAATACGCATCTTACACTAGAATTTAACCTTTTCAGCTTGCATTATTTGTTTGATTGTTTTGGCGCTCAATTTCCATAAGCTTTATTGAAACGCTGACACAGGCGCAGTGCACAGAAAATAGTATTCCGACAAGTGTTCTCGGTAGCAATTTAATGACGAAAATACCGAAAAACCGGATGGTATTTTTTATTACCAGCGGCGCGGTCATACTGGTCGTGAGAGCTGGTCATGTACCTGCAAGCCTGTCAAATGTTAAATAACAGCTGCGGAACTCACGAAATATCACGATATAGGATATCGATATATCGATATGACAACGACCCGACACCCGAGGGAGAATTCTGTTAACTTACAGCCTCCTGATCCAATATAAAGCTCAGAGGCGAAAAAATGTCAACAAAAATAACAATTTTTTAAGTTAATTTTTGTTTAAAAGTTTTCCATTATTTTCTGAATATCTTATTGGTCTTCCTCCTTTGCGTATGACCTATTAGTGCCTATCTTGTGCAGATATTTTACAGGCACTTCATAGTCGACGCAGCATTATATGTACATTTATTAAAATAAAAACAAGCAAGGAAACTACTTTGCGCACGCCGAAGTTTATATACCCTTGCAGATAGAACTTCGATGACTAAGAATCAATACAATATAAAATATATATATTTATGTTAAAAAACAATGAAGTAATACCTGCTTTCATTTTATTCACCTATTCATAATATATTTACAGTTTTACATTTACAGATTTGCAGTATTCGTCTATATCTAACGATTGTTTGTATGACACCAATATGGTATAGTTTTTTGATTTTCATAAAATTTGACACAAAATTTAAGACTAATATAAAATGGCTATATCTCAAATTTGATGAAAATCTGTTGAAAACTTATAATGTTATAATTTTTAATTGGATTAATTTCTTGATCGTTCCTATGGGAGCTATATGATATAGTAGTCCGATTTTCATAAAATTTTACACAAAATTGTAGAAAAATATAAAATGACTATATCTCAAATTTGATTTCATTCTGTTGAAAACTGAAAATGTTATCGCCACGGCGATTGTCAGTCTTCCTACAACAGCCACTGCCATTCTCATTCCTCTCAAATTTCTCGATCTTTTCTATGGGAGCTATACGATATATTAGTCCGATTTTCATAAAATTTTACACAAAATTGTAGAAAAATATAAAATGACTATATCTCAAATTTGATTTCATTCTGTTGAAAACTGAAAATGTTATCGCCACGGCGATTGTCAGTCTTCCTACAACAGCCACAGCCATTCTTATTCCTCTCAAATTGATTTCATTCTGTTGAAAACTGAAAATGTTATAATTTTTTTTTGTAAAAATTTTCCGATCATTCCTATGGCAGCTTTATGATATACATAGTTGTCCGATCCGGCCCGTTCCAACATATATATATGACTGAGCGTTGTAAAAAGGCGGAAAAATAATCAAGCAGATTGATAATAATTTTAAAGTTATCCGCAAAAAGCCAACTCAATTTCTAAAAGAACAGAATTCCCGCATTCCACAATTCCCGCAATTCACAAATGTTTCACTCAATTACCATTAATAAAAAAAAAACAGTTTCGTCGGTAAATAATCCAAATTTGCAGCACTGCCCTGGATAGCCAACGCGAGAAAACTCTGTTAATTTACGTCCTCCTCTGTTAATAAGAGCGGATATGTTACAATAAATGTTAAAAACAGCTGCGGAACTCACGAAATATCACGATACTGCATATCGACATGTTACTAA